CCCATCACAAAAAAGGGCTGGTGGAGTGGCTCGAGGTGTAGGTCCTGAGTTCAAGCCCCAGTACTGCAAATAAATAAATAAATAAGCAACAAAAAACCATGTGTAACATGCTAACATGTCTCTTCCTCACACTTACTAACAGGTCTTTAAAATTTTTTTCTTTTGATGGTACTTGGTTTCAACTCAGGGCCTTTCTTTATTCCTTGACCCACAACTCCCCACTCCAGCCATAATAGGTGTTTAAACAAAGAAAGATCAGCCTCCAGCTCAGCAATGGCAGGTAAAGGTATCTAACTAGAACCTGTAGAATCTGAGAACATTGTTTTGGTTTCTATAGTGTCTTTCTACTTAAGGTGCATGATTCTGGTTTCTTTTTCTTTGAAAGTGATTTTGATTAAAAAAATATTTTTATCTCACTGGTTCACTTAGATATTAATTTGCTTTTTTAAGTAAATGCATCTAAGTTGAAATGGAGTCTATTCAAAGAAAAACATTTAAAAAGTACCTATTTGGCCTTAAGTTAGAACCCACCATTTACTAGCTGAGTGACATTGGATAAGGTACTGAGTAATTCCTCTGAGTCTTAGTTCCTCATCTGTAAATGAAGGTGACATTTTTCTCAGCCTCATAGATTTTTAAAATCTATTTAAAATAGGATTAAATGAGGGCTGGGGCATGGCTCATGTGCTTGCCTAGCAAGTGTGAGACCCTGAGTTCAAATTCTGATACCCCCTTAAAAGAAAAAGGAATAAATGATGATGAACATCAGGAGCTTAGCACTCTGACATGTAGTTAAGCACCCAGTGCTATTTATTTTATTGACACAAGATCTTACTGTGTAACACATGCTGGCCTCAAACTCAGTCCTCCTGCCTCAGCCTCCCAAGTGCTGGGATTACAGGTGTGTAATCCACACCTAACTTCAACGTTATTTTTGAAAACATTATCATAGAAGTTGTAGTTTTAATGGTAGTAGTAGTGCTGTACTGGGGATTGAACACAGGACCTTTTACATATGAGGTAAACACTCTGCCACTGAGCTACGCACCCAGACCAATACTAATAGTACTCATCTGAATTTTGTCATAATGCCTCCTGGCTGCTTGGAGCAGGGAAAGCCAGTGGATTATGGAGAACCTGGATGGGGATGACCCACTCCAGGACCCCAGCTTGACTCCAGTGGTTCTCAATTGGGTGTCACCCCTCAAGGGACATTTGCCAATGTCTGAAAACCTTTTTTTGGATTTTTTTTCTTATGATGATGTGGGGTGCCACTGGAATCTGGTGGGTGGAGGCCCGAGATGCTGCTAAGCATCCCAGATGTACAGGACAGCCCCCCCATCAAAATGAATTCTGTCTAAATGTCAAAAACGCTCAGGCTGAGAAACCCTGCTGCATGCTGCACCCTGCATCTGTGTATGTGCCTCAGCAGTAGCTGACTCTTCAGTCATCTCATGACTTCCAAAAGAGACCTGAGTTTAGAATACAAAGACCTCGGCCTCAGTTTCCTCATTTGGCAAATAGGAACGCTGAAGCCTACCTTGTCTGTGGCATTCCATCCCTGATGGTTGAGCCTCTTGGGCGAGGCTGTCACTTTCTGATTTCCTCCTCTCTTCCCCCAGACCTAAGGAAACCCATTTCTGATTAGCTTTTCTCCATTTGTTTGACTTCTGAGTGTCTTCCAATCCCAGAGTGGTCTTCAGGGCCCCATTGCCACCATCTGAGCCCCTGTAGAGCAGAGGAGGCAGAGGCAATGCCCCAGCCTTCTCTGACTACATGGTTGTTTTGAGTCCCAGCTCCTAGTCTGATTCCTTTGCAGTTGGTGACATGTGTATTGATTCTATTTCTGTGTTTACTTGGTTTTATTCCTCCCTCCCCAAGGACAGACACCACATCTGTGCCCCTAGCACAATGCACAGTTGCAGGACACATAATAGGATCTCAGAAATTTACTTGTGAAATGTACAAATGGAGGAGGGGGAGGGAGAGAGAGGGAGAGAGAGAGAGAGAGAGAGAGAGAGAGAGAGAGAGAGAGAGAGAGAGAGAGAGAGAGAAAGAGAATAGGATGAGGAGATACAGAAATGGAAGAAAAGAGAAAAGGAGTGGAGAAGAGGATGAGTGTGAAATGAATGTTCAATGTTGACAGATCTAAGCAGAAAACAAAAGGAGGAAGGTCTAAGCTCAGACTTGAGCACTATGTAGGAGGGAAGGAAGGAGAGAGGAGGGTGGAGAGAGTGAGCTGCAGAACACAGTGAAGAAAGCTTCACTGAGGTCTCAGTGCCCTGGGTTGCAGGGGGTGGGGGAGAATGATGGCCAGGAGTAACCAGGAACCTTGAGGCTGGGAGCACAGGGATACAGGAGTGGTTTCCATGGAGACAGGGATGCTCCAGGCAAGAGCAGAAAACAGATTACAGCAGGGCCAGCCACTCTGGCACACAGGGAGAGGAGGGCCAGAGAGGAGATGGAGGGATGGTGTGCCTTTGTTCCCTGCCCAGCCTTTTCCCCACCCCTGCCTCCACACATACCCCTGGTGCTGTGCCAGACCCTCCAGGATGCGGGGGAAGGAACCCTTCAGAGGGTGGGGGTGGACCCCCGCTCCTCTCTCTTGCCCCCATCCTTGGCGTTTGACCGTCTTGTCCTTCCCAGTTGGGTCCTGGAGCGTGTGGCACGGCATCAGGGGTATGTGGGGAGACGGATGGTCAAGGCTTCTCCGTCCTGGGCGTCTCTTCAGTTTCTACACGGACCTTAGATACCTACAAGTGTCCGAAGTTTCCATCTTTCCATCTTCAGCCCTGGTTGCTCCCTGGGCTCCGCACTTGCTTCTCCATTCGGGATTCCAACGGGCTTCTTCAGACTCTCAATTCTTTTCATTCAGCCAGCTCGTTTTTGCTGCAGAGTTTTTGTGTTCGCCATTTCCTTCGCCTGGACCTCTTTTTCTGGTCCTTAAGGGGTGGCGAGTTCCACTAGAGCGGAGAACTGTCTTGGAGGAGGCGAGCCCTGGGTGCGAGCGTGACCCCAGTACTGTCGGGGAGCCCTGCATCAGGGCGGGACGCCCCTGGGGCGGCAGCAGCCTGGGGCCTAGGGCTCCCTTGCACTGTGACTGCGGGAAGGAGTGGCAAAGCCGAGCGCCCCTGTCCTACCCGGGGACCTGGTGGGCCACACGGACAGTGGACAGAATTGACCACCACCCACATTTTGTCATCGCTGCCATCTAACACCTAGGCTAAGTACCCTATGGGACTTTGGGATCTTAGATACAGTACCCCAGACGCTGCCGGGACTGACGGACAATAGGAGGACAACATCAAGCCTGTAGACAGTCACAGCTCTGCAGAGAAGACTGGGACTCCACCGCTGCCTACTGAATGCAGTGGCTCTGATTGGCCTGCCGGGGGGAGTGGGCCTGCGCGCCTCTCGGAGCCAATCACTGTTAGCAGAGGGATGCAGTAAGCTGATTGGCTCAGGCTTGTCCCCGCCCATTTGGGGGCGCGGCCTGCCCAAATCATCAAGGCTGGGGCTGAGAGAAGTCGGTGGCTAAGCCGAGCGCAGTGGGTTTCCCCGCAGACAGCCATTCGGCACCCCCTTCTGGTCCGGCCCCTTTATCTCTCCGCCTCCCACGAAACCAACTCCCCGCATTATTTTCTAATTGTGTAATTGTTATGTTTGTCCTTATGACTAGTTTTGATATTAACAGCTGACATTTATCCGGGGATTACCGTGCAAAGCACTTTGCTGCTCCTGTAACCTTTACAGCCACGGGTGACACTCTCACCATCCCCGTTTTACCGATGAGGAAACTGAACGCACAAGGGCGAAGGAACGCATCTAGCAGAGCTAGGATGGAAGCCCCAGCCTTTTGGGCCATTTTGCAGTAATCTAGCTCACCTCCACTACACCTCAAGCTGCAGGAGGTACGAATCCACGTACCCTCCCCCAGCCCCGGTCTAGTGCCTGGCCCTCCAAAAGCATTGCCTGAGCAAGTGCCTGGCACTAGGCTAAGTTCTCACAAGCAGGACTCCATTTAATCCTCATAACCCCCCGTGGGTTCTCACCCTGTGACGGTGAGTACTGTGCATTCCACAGAGCAGACCCCTAAAGTCACACAGCCACAAGAGGAAGGGCAGAGCACGCTGCGGTCTGTTTGCTTAGCCGTGCTCAAGTGCCTCAGTGGGAACGCGAGGTCCAGCATCTTGAATGAAAGGGAAATGGCAACCAAGAGCCGGTGGCTCACGCCTCTAATCTTAGCTGTTCAGGAGGCAGAGATCAGTAGAATGGAGGTTCGAGCCAGCCCAAATAGTTCTTGAGACCTTATCTCGAAAAAAACGCCCCCCAAACAAAAAAACAACCCATCACAAGAAAGGGCTTGGTGGAGTGGCTTAAGTGGTAGAGAGTGCCTGCTTAGCAAGGGTGAGGTTCTGAATTCAAACTCAGTGTCGCCAAAAAAAAACAACAAAAAAAAGGAAATGGTGTTCAACAAACAACTGTTGAACAAACGGCAAAACAACAAATAACACCCCAGAAACAAATAAACAAAAAAAAACAGAACAAGGATGAGGAAGAGAGGTAAGAATTAAGAATGGCCAGGATAGGCTGAGGCCATGGCTCCGGTGGCAGAGCGCCTGCCTAGCAAGCAGGAGGCCATGAGTTCAAACCCCAGTGCTGCCAAAAAAAAAAAAAAAAAAGAATGGCCAGGATGAAGGCGGTGGTTTTGGTTTGCTACTTTCTCATTTCCTGGAAGGCTTCCTGGAAGAGGAGGTGACTTGATGGGAGAGGGACAGGGCCTGGAGGGTTGCGGAAGGTCTCTAGCCCCAGGCAGGAGGCGGGGTCCCACACCTTGTGTGAAGGGGGGTCTCTGGCTCTCTGGGGCTGATGGGCGGAGCCGGAGCACAGGACCCAGTCTGAGGATACAGGCCTCTGGTGTCCAGCCCCTAGGGACTAACGATCCCTTCTCTTCCTTCATGACCGTGGTGGTGGTGGTGGGCCTGGCTCGTGCCCTCCAGCTCTGTGCCTAGTCCTGGGCTGCATGATCTTCCCCGACGGCTGGGATGCTGAGACCATCCGGGACATGTGCGGGACCAAGACAGGGAAGTACTCCCTGGGGGACTGTTCGGTGCGCTGGGCGTACATCCTGGCCATCATCGGCATCCTCAACGCCCTCATCCTCTCTTTCCTCGCCTTTGTGCTGGGCAACCGGCAAACAGACCTGCTGCAGGAGGAGCTCAAGCCGGAGAACAAAGGTGAGCGCTCAGGCAGGGCAGGGAGCCTGGCAGGGGTGGGGTGGGAAAGGAAGGCCTGTTGCTTCAGGTTGCGACAGTTTCAGGTAAAAGTAACAAAAGTGATGTAAAAATTAGAAACCTTCAGTGAGGACAACGTCCGTGAAAATGATGTGATGATACTCCCGGAGTATTCGCGTGCCTGTGATCCAGCAAAACGACCTCCGAGTATAAACCATGAGGAACGACCAAGGATGCAGGCACTGGCAGACTCCCCACAACAAAGGGCCGCCATGGACGATGGGCATAGGTCCATGGTGGCCCTCTGGTCAGTTATATGTCATTAAATGGAGGGACTGAAGAAACATAATATTGAGAGGAAAAAAGAATCAAGTATTGTGTAAACATATGCTAACACTTTTTTTTTTTGGCGGTACTGGGGTTTAAACTCAGGGTCTCACACTTGCTAGGCAGGTGCTTTATCACTTGAACCACTCCACCAACCCCTTTTTGTGTCCAGTATTTTTCCCCCAGTTGGCCTTGAACCACGATCCTCCTGATCTCTGCCTCCTGACTAGCTAGGATTAGCTACTTAGGCATGAGCCATCGGCGCTTGGCTGGTAACACTATTTTTTATAAAACAAAGAAATGAGGCGGGGTTGGGTGGTAAGGGAGGGGGTGGGGGGAGGGGGGAGAAATGACCCAAGTATTGTATGCACATATGAATAAAAAAAAAAGAAATGATAAATACAAAAGGTAGGATGGTAGTTATTTGTGGCTGGTACAGAAATGGAGGAATTGGGGAGCAGGAGTTGGGAGCACATGCAAATTACTGGTAGAGTTATAGTTTGTTTTTTTTTAAATTTTTTCCTGAGACAGGGTCTTACTGTGTAACCCAGGGTGGCCTCAAACTCAAGATTCTCCTGCCTCAGCCTTCCAAGTGTTGGGATTATAGCTGTGTACCATCAGGTCCAGCTCTGAGTAATAGTTCCTGAATGGTGCCACTCACAAGTGTTTATTATGCTATGTAATTAGTATAGTATATATAAACTTCTGTATATACCAAGTAACAGTAAAATACAATTAAAAAACAATTTAACGTGGTGGTACCCAAGTATAATACCAGCACTCAGGGGGCTGAGGCAGGAGGACCTGGAGTTTGAAGCCAGTCTGGACCACATACTTTGTTTCAAGACAAAAACAAGAAATGCTTTATACCTAAGTCCTAAGACTCTGGAGTAAGTGCTGTTAGTACACTTAGGAGCAAGAGCTGTTGTCAGACTTTTTTCCCTGCATATCTACATACATCGTCATGTAAGCTGAAGAACTATAGTTGATTACTTAACCCTTCTTCCAGGGCCTGTTAGAGAAGTTTCAGGTCTTTACTTCTCATGACGACGCTACAGTGTACATCTTTGTTCATCCTTCTCACACTCACGTGCCAGGGTTTTCCTGAGGTCTCCAGAAGTAGAATTGCGGGCTTCACTTGGAATGACAGTGCCAGATGACTCTCCAAAGGGGGGTTCCAAGCAGGGTCCCCTGACTCAGAGGCCCAGCCTCCCTCCCAGACCCAGGGGAGACTGGCTGGGGATGCAGTCTTTGTTTGGGGATGGGAGTAGTAATTTCATAGTCACACCTCTCGAGTGGGTAGCACGTTTGGCTCTTGGCTCGTTACATTAATCACATTCCATCTCGGGCTCTCCCAGCTTGTGCAATGGGAGTGATGGCCGTGAGGATCAATGAGCTACTGTAGCACTGTGTGGTCTCATTGGCAGGGGGTAACTGTTTTGTGCTTGAGGTCTCAGACTCTGAAGGCAGATGGTATTGGAAGCCGGTCCTTAGAGGTGACTCGACCTCAAGTTTCAGTTCCCTGAACTTTCTAACATTCGGGTGATGTGAAGCGTTCCAGTTCCCAGGGCTGTCATGAGAGGGAAAAAAGACAGACGGTGCCTGCAAAGTGGCCAGCAAGCTCAGTGGGGAAAGGCATGTGGGGAAGACCTAGCCAAAGCTGTGTGTTCCCCAGCAACCCTCAGGCAAGCTCAAGATCACTTGAGAATGCGAATGAAAGCCCAGGGTCACCTCAGTGGTGTAGCAGAATTTGAATGCGGGTCAAAATCCAAAGCCCAAACTCTTTGCCTGGTGTCACACAGCTTGTCTCAGCCCAGGGAGGATGGAGATGTCTTTCCCCCTTTCAGGACCCTTCTGGGACAACAGTCTGCCAGTTTGTCTGGAGAGGCTTCTTGTGATATGAACCCTGAGACCTGGTGGTCTTCTGTGGTCTGGGTGTGAGGTCAGGGCCTTCCCTCTGGTGGCAGCTCCCAGAAGTGCAAGACCATGACTACTATGTGGCCTTTCTGAAGCAACTATGACATGGTGAGCTGGGCCCACTAGCATTCCACTCCTCTCTATAGAGCTCCCTAACAACTCAGTCTCAGTGGGGTTGCCCCCCATACTGGAGTTTGAACTCAGGACCTCTCTCTCTTGCTGGGCAGGAGCACCACCACGCGAGCCACAACTCCAGTCCTTTTTGCTTTAGTTTATTTTTTTTTGCTGTACTGGGGCTTGAACTCAGGGCCAACACCTTGAGCCATTCCACCAGCCCTTTTTTGGTGAAGGGTTTTTTTCGAGATAGTCTTTGGAACTATTTGCCTGGGTGGGATTTAAACTGCAATTCTCCTGATCTCTGTCTCCTGAGTAGCTAGGATTACAGGCATGGGCCACTGGTGCCCAGCTTGCTTTGGTTATTTTTCAGATAGATAGGTTCTCTTGCCTTTTGCTCAGGGCTGGTCTCAGACCATGATCCTCTTACCTATACCTCCCAAGAAACCTGGATTACAGGCATGCGTCACCATTCCCGGCACAACTCAGTGTTCAAAAGTGATGTGCTATCCTTTAGCATCTGGGTATTTCCATCCCTCATTTGGAAGTTCAAGATGAGTGAGCCTTACAGTTTATTTCTGAGTCAAAGCAAAAACCAAAATAAATTATTCCCATTTCCAGCACTTCCTATGTGCTGGGTCCTTAACTGACATCACCTCTTTGACCATTCAGACTCACCCTGTGAGAGGGGGACTAGCCCCATTTTACGGATCAGGAAGTTGGACTCAGAGAGGTTAAAAGACATGCTCAGACCATCCTTCAGCGGCTTGTCTGCAGTCATCCCCAGCCCACTTCTGCCCTGGGAGTAGCCAAGGGGAGCCCTAATCCCTAGCCGTGTCTGATTCTTGATTCTTCAATCCTCTCTCGTTCAGATTTTGTGAGCTCAACAGTAAGCTCTGTGTTGCGGCCTGGAGGTGATGTCTCTGGATGGGGAGTCCTGCCCTGCCCTGGTCCTCACTCACAGGGACCCTGAAGGCCAAGATCACAGCCCGGGAATTGGCCTGACCTCAATGTATCCTGTCTGCTGCCCTCCCACCCCTGCCTTCAGGTTGGAGGGAAGATCCCAATGTCAGATTGACTGCTCACCGACAGCCGGCGTGGACCTCTAGGCTTTGAAGAGAGGATGGGGCCAATCTGCAGTTTTGCAGAGGGGAGAGGCCCTTCAGACCATGGGAAGCTTGATTCTGGCCCTGCCTCAATTTGACCTAAGAGGCGCAGGACCCCTCAGTCCCTTGAGAGCCTCCTCTTCTCTCTAGACTAGCCGGAGGCCTCTGCAGATCCCCAGGGAAAGGAGATGCTGTGGTTCCAGCTACCCAGACCCCTGTCTGGAAGGCTGTGTCCTGCTGTGTCATTGCCTCCCCTGTCCCTGTCTCCTACAGAAACTTATTCAAGACACTGCCCTGGATGGGCCAGACTCTTTCCTACTGTTTTTGTTTTTTTGTTTTTGCTCACAGAGAACTCCAGGTGCCACCAGTCCCTCCCGGGGCCTCCTCTGCCCCTGTTCCAGCCTGCTTCCGGCTCTCTCAAAGGAACTTGAGCTGCATCGAGGGGAAAAGCATAGGATCTTCCTGTCAACCGCTGACTGGGGCCATCTGCCCAGCGTCTGAGGAAAGATACAGGCTCTGGAGGCAGCAGAAGGCAGCACTTGACCTCGGCAGCTGGAGCTTACATGGTGCCCAGCTGGGGCTGGTCTAGCCTCCTCTCTGCTGGGATATCTCACCAGTGACTGGACCTTTGACCTGGGCCAGTTTTGTACAGCACAGACTTCTTGGCCCCGTTATCAGGGTTGGGGGCTGGGGAGAGGGGGCACAAAGTGGGGAATTAGGGGATTTGCCATCCCTTCTGCCCTTTCTCATGCCTCCCACACCCGGAGCTTCTGCCAAGGGCAGAGACAGTCTTGCCTCTTTGATACTTTTCTGCATAACTTGAACTTGCAGGTCACCTCTGAACAGGGTACCCCCTGTCCCCATCCCCAGGCCTTGTTACCCTGTCCCTGCCTCTTCCTCCTCCTTGCCCACCTCTCGCCTTGCGATACGCCCAGGGTCTGCAGCCTAATGGGCAGTGCTTGGAGCTGAGGCATGAGTGTGTGTGCGAGGTGTGTGTATGTATGAGCACGCAAGAGAGTGTGTGTGTGTGTGTGTGTGTGTGTGTGTGTGTGTGTGTGTGTTGGGGAGGGGCAGATGAGAAGTGTTCTCTCCCCTTCTCCCACTGTGGAGGCTTCTCTCACCCCCTTGGCAGGGAGCCAGTGAGGGAGACTCCTGGTGTTCTTTGAACACCCCTCCTTACCTTGTGGATCTGGTGGCAGAGCCATCTAGCCTTGAGAGTCCCTGACTCTGGGGCCTGGTCAAGCCCTTTCAAGTCAAGGGGTGGCAGACTAGCTTCATCTAGTATGCCATCTTCTCCGGGCCTGGGCCCACTGCCTGGTCCACTGTGAGAAGGAGCTGTTCAGACAGCTCTCTCCCCTGCAGCTCCATGGGGAAGCGTGTTGTTATCATTTTGTTCCATTGGCCTCAGTATGGGGAGAAGAGCAGCTAGTCCATGTATTTGCCATCCTTGTGTTCATTTCCATAGGACTTGGACCTGAGAGTCAGGATTCCCAAGGAAGACCCACCACCTGCCGCCCCCTGTCTGGACCCTAACTGGAATCCTGGTAGGGTTCCTGACATCTGGAACTTACCAAGCCTGGACCCCCATCTCTTAGACTCAATGCTTGAGGGCAAAGATCAGGCCCCTGAACTGTACCCTCCCTCAACCATCCTCCCCTGGGGCCACAGTGCAGAAGCCTTCCCCAGCAGGTGACCCAGAGGTGGGGATGGATGGGAGGGTGAAGGGAGCTTGTGGGAAGGAGTGGGGTTGAGAAGTGAGTTCCTCAGACAAGCCAAAGCCCCTGTTGGAGGGGGTGGGCAGGTGGGGAGGGATTGGGAATCAGAAGAGAGGTGGAAATGGGAGAGGAAGGTGCAGGGACAGTGTAAGAGAGGCAAAGAGGAGACATATGGGTGGAGGTGAGAGGGAGATGGAGAGTGTGGAGGAGGAAGGACCTGGAGGGACAAGTGCAGAGACAGAGAAAGGAGAAGTGAAGAGCCAGAAATGGGACTGTGCTGGAGTGGGGAGAGATGGCTGGAAAGACAAATAGGAGGTGGTGAAGAGGCAAATGGAGATGATTGCAGGGGCAAGACTGCCATGCAGGGGAAGAGCAGAGGAAAGGGAGGATGGTGGGAAGATGCTGGGGAGTAAGGAGAGTGGCCACTGTGTGGGCATCGGGTAAAGGGACACTTGCTACCCTGTGCTCTGGTGGTGAAGTTAGAACTCCCCTTCGTGGAGGAATGGGGTGGGAGGAGCTGTACCAGAAGGGAACTGAGTGCAGGCAACATTAGCGGTGGGTCAGCGCCAGGTGGTAGGGAGGAGGGAATTGAGTTTCCTTTTGGGGTGGTCTGACAACATTCCCATTCACCCTGTACCCGGCTGCTGCTCCTGGGGAGAGCAAGGGGCAGCCTGGGTTTGCACAAAGGAGTTTGGGAGTTAGGAAAACAGAGTTGGGTAGGTGAAGTCTGGGGTAGCCCCAGCATGACATGCCAGAGGTTGGAGTGGGGATCAAACCATAGCCCTGTCCCTGAGGGTTCAGCAGAGGTGGGGACAAAGGGGGGGGGGAAAGATGCTTCAGACAAAGTTCCATGAAAGGCCTGGCCAAGTTCAAGCTATGATGGCTCTCCTGGGGCAAGGAAGGTGACATGGGAAGGGCAGGCTTTAGCCTTCAGGAGGTGACAAGCAGTGGAGATCAGTGTCTTTGTTTCTGACCCTGGGAAGGCCTCTTAGGTGTCAACCCAGAGCCTCCTGGCTTTAGGTCTCTGAAAGTTCTTTGCCAACTGTGACTGGATCAGGGGAGATCTGGCACTACCCACTTTTCTCAACCCTTGGCTGGGGACTCTTTCAGGAGGAGAAAGCAGCAATCCTAGAGGTGGCTCGGTCTCTGGCCCATGGCACTCATCTATCAAGTCCTCTGGGCCTCCCCTATGGAGACCAGGGCCTGTGGGGGAAAACTCTCTTGAGGGATAAGGACGTAGGTAGGATAAGGATCCTTTTCAGGCCTGGAACAACCAAGATGAGAGTTGTAGCCAAGGCTCGGGGGAGACTTCCCTGACTTTCTAAGGGTCCTGCTTGGGCATGGGGATTTGCTCTTCCTCAGCTTCTGGTGTCAACTGAGAAAGGGAAATCCTCTCTTTGGAAAAGCTGGGATCTTCCCAGCACAAGAAATTTCTGCAGGCCCCTGCCTGGCTCAGGGTGAGCTTTTGGGTGGGACTGGAGTTTCCTGAGAAGGGAACAAGGAGCCACAGTCCTTCTCCAGGGCTCTGGGGCCTGTGCTGTGCTGTTAAGATAGCTTGGTGTTGTCTATACCCCATTAGTAAGTTCTGTCTGAATATGTCCTTGTTGCTCATCGTCCAATTTGGTAACATTTATTTTGGTCCTGACCCTTTCTGCTGCTGCTGGATTTGAGCTTCAGTGCAGGTGGAATGATGTTCAAATAAAGAAACACTTTATATCACCCATGCTGCCTGTTGCCTCTGTGTCATGCCCCAGAGACTCAAGGGGTGAGATATGACCCAACTCCTTCTATCAGGTTTGGCTGCATATTAACATCGCTCCATACTGTGGCTTAATGAGATAGTTTTTTTTAACCATGGTGCTAAAATAAAGAAAGAAAGAAAGAAGCTGAGAGGCTGAAGCAGGAGGAACTTGAGTTTGAGGACAGCCTGGGCTACATAGTGAGGCTGTGTCTCAAAGGGAAAAAGGAAGTTTGGATGTAGCCAGAGCATGGCCCTCAGTATTACCAGGAACCAAACTCCTATCTCTCTCGACCACATTTTCAGTCCTTGCTTTCTTTCTCAAGAATATCTCACGGCCCAAGATAGTCTGCATTTTATTTGAAGGAGACTTCTGGAAATCCCACTGAACCAAGTCACATTGTACATGTAGCTGTAAGGACGCTGAAAATAATTGGACACATTGCCAACCCAAGTACAATTGGGGCTCTGTCACAAAAGAGAAAGGACAGAATGAATGGAGTAGGCAGTAGTAGTCTCTGCACTCCTGATCGCACAAGCTTGATGGCACTGGGGACTCTGAAAAGAGCAAACGAGGCTCCACTCCTTTCCGCCTTTGTAGAACTGGATAAGTCACATCACCTCTCCAAATCTTCACTGAGAAAATGGGGATAACAACAGCAACTACCTCACAGGGGAGTGGTAATGAGGGGATGTTCATAAACTGCTAAGCATGGTGTACAGCACACTCACGTGCAACTAGAGATCCTGTCTTAATGGCAAGTTTGGTCTTGGAGATGAACATATCAAAATAAGGTTTCCTGTAGGATGAGAAAATGTTAGGCAGGCAGGTGTCAGGAAGGCCATGATGAAAGAGAAGGCAGCTTGAGGAGGGAGAAAAAGAATTGTGCTGCCAGTGGCTCACTCCTGTAATCCTAGCTACTCAGGAAGCAGAGATCAGGAGGATCATGGTTGGAAGCCAGCCTGGGCAAATAGTTCAAGAGACCCTATCTCAACAAAACCCTTCACAAAAAGGGCTGTTGGAGTAGCTCGAGGTGTAGGCCTGAGTTCAAACCCTAGTATTGCATATAAAACAAAACAAAACAAACAACCCCCGCCCCGCCCCAAAACAGAAGGAGAACTGCATGTCTGGAGAACTAAGAGCAGTGTAGGAGTGTAGAGGGAGTGTACGACAGGTGAGCATGGAGGGTCAGAGAAGGGCCCAGAGAGATCAACAAGGGCCAGACTGTGACACAGCTCAACACCTTGCATGGAAGCTCAGATTTCAGAGCAATGTGGAGCCCCAGGATTTTAAGCAGGAGAGGAGCACAACCAGGTTCACATGTTAGAGAGATCACTCTGGTTATGGTGTTAGGGGGTCAGCTCAGAGGGAGACAATTTCGATGAAAGGGAAATCAGGAGCCTGGAAATGAGA